TGTGACATTAAAGTGTAAAGATCTACGACGTGGTCCAAAAACTCCCAACCTGATGCCTCTGACTTGCAGCAGCGCACAGACAAAATTCATATTACATTACCTCTCTGCTCAATTCCAGTTTTTTGCTCAGATCTGATATTTCCAGCTTCATACTTCGCATTTGTGTCCGTATGTGGATTGAATCTGTCTTTAATATGAATGAACCCATGTCCTGAAACAGCCCACATGCACACATCCTAATCAATAGCTTTACGTGAGTGAACCACGGGTCATGAACAACGAACAAGCTAACCAGCAGAACAAGCTTTTGTCACGAAGATAATTGGCTCTGAACAGCTCTGAGCTGTTAATTATTAGCGCACAATGAAGGCGAAAAAGGGTGAAATATGTTGCTTTTGCAGCGTTTTCTGGCACTAACTTCAGGTTGGGCCCTGCTGCCACTTAATAATGCTGCTTCTTTCAATTTTAACAAAAAAAATCTAGTTTCAGCATTAGTTAATAAAATAAGTTCTCTATAATGCTCAATAATGTGCATATTGTTGCTCTGTCTCGTATCTCCAAAGAAGTAACTTTACAGGAGAAAGAAAAAAAAATTTCTTAACTTTCAATGCAAGATAATGTAACAAGATTTTAGAAGTCCTTTGGAGGATTTCTGTTGCTCCATTCATCAAGAAATTTTGATGCAGTGTAAAAGGCAGCTCGCATTTTCAAATTATGTAAAAAAAAGATGAAAAACAACAAAAATGGAGGTATGAGATTTTGATCAGACAGCAGAAATATGATGCACAGTCATTCTGAAAGATTGCAATACACTACGAGAAACATAGGGGGCTATATAGCTGTTGTGGGGGTGATCTGTTGTTTCATTATGTATTGCTTTTAATAGTTTATAGGTTAGTCGATTATAGAAACAATCTTTAGTTGCAGCTCAAACCGTAATTTAATGAATAATGCCCTTTTAAGTGGCTCACGGGGCGTCTCCAACCTGGAAATCACCCTCATACTCTACTATTCTTAAGTCTGTGATGGGGGAGTACAACTTGTTTTTCCATGTTGTGTTTGTTTTTTTTTTCCCCTGTCATCTTCATCTCGTCTTGTTTTGTTTACTCTGCCTGTCCAACTCGTCTGTCGGTGAGGCGTTCTGTTTAAGGGCTTCAAAACGTCACCAGCCGCGAGTCGGGAGAGATGCATGACGACTGATCAAAAGGAGCTGAGCGTACGGATAAGTCCATGAGAATTAGACAAACAGATTGATGCACACACACACACACACACACACACACACACACACACACACACACACTCACACTCGCACCTGTCAATCACAGCCTTATTGTTGCTCCGCATTAAATAAATATAACATAAGATAGTGGGGTCTGTTCTGTCAGTCAGGTTGTGTGAATCAAAAGACATGTATGTTGGATAATTCATAAACCCTGTGCAAATCAATGATTAGAAGAGCAGACTGTCAGCTGCCAATATCAAATGTTACTTCCAGTTGTAGTCTTATACTTTATGTTGAAGATAGGACTGTAACTAAAATCAATTCGAATTGATTCGACTTCACTGAACAGTAACAAGCCCTAAAAAACCCTCAAAAGAAAAGTGTATATACAGTCTTATGCAAAAGTTTGGGTGCCCCAGTCAAATTGTGCAGATTTTTTTAGTGGAAAATAAGTGAACATATCCTCTACAGAGAACACACTTCTGCACATTTTAATGTAAAATTACTGTTTATTTGCTCAATCGATCAGAAAATCTTAAAAATCAACAAAACATGTAATTTGACCAGGGGTGTTCAAATTTTTGCATATGCTTGTAAATGGGTGTGCCCATCAGGCTCTAGCACAGGGGTCGGCAACATGCAGCTCCACAGCAGAATTAGATTTTTAAGTAAAAATGAAATAATCCTCTGCTGATCATTCCAACACATTTTAACAATAAACAGTCTTCAATGCTGGAGTTGTATTATGTATAACTGCTAATTCACCCTTTAACTCTGAAGACTGGTGTACAGACTGCTGGTTGCCATAGCAACGCAGAAAACCTCGCCTAGCTAGCAGCTAACCAAACGGCAAAGAGAGAGATTTAAGTTGAGCATTGCTAATTTGGAGACAAATTGACTTATTTGCATTTATAATCACTCCAGCTGGTTTCCTGATACATTTAATCTGTACGAGAAACTGTCAAACACTTAAAAAGTCGCGAAGCTGAACTCCGCTTCTTTTCCCGTTTCACCTTAAAAGGTATAGTAGTTACATTCTGGTGCCTCAGGCAGCATTTAAGGTGGAACGGGAAAATTCGAAGGAGAAGCGACTTCAGCCTCGTAAAAAATCGAACGTTGAAAGATGTATTACAAGAAACTGTTCTACATTTGAGGAAAAGTTTCTTGTTGGAGATGCGAGAAAAGTGGCTATAGCTGAGCTAAAGCTTAAAGCAGAGCAAAGTAAGTCTGTGTTTTTGTTTATATTATATCTTTTGTCCTATACTAGTACATTAACACAGACATATTTACAGCCAAGATGGTTAGATTTTTTTTTTTTTTAAAGGACAAAATGGCTCTTCTTAATATTTGGGTTGCCGACCTCTGATCTAGGAGAACTGAAAATATGCATTATCGTTATGCTAATCATAATGTATTTTAATTGAAGTATGATCAAGTTGATTAATCAATTAATTGCGAGAGCCCCAGTTGAATGTTCATTATACACCAACTGAATGGGTAGTAAATGGACGGCTGAAACATATTGTCGATGTCAGAACAGAACCTTGCATCTCCATTTTTTGTTTTGCTTTTTTTTCCTTTCTTTTTTGTTTACATAGTTTGAAAATGGCAGCTGTTTACTTTGCCAAATTTTGTAAACTACTACAAATTAAACACAATCTTCTTATCTTAACATTGAAAGTTAAGAGTTTTTTCCTCCTCCTGATACAAACTCTTGTTCTGACACTGACGATATATCTATTTTCTTACTGTCAGAATTGGCATTTGGGTACTAGTTCCTCCTGGTAAAAAGGGTTTTTTCACTGCGGCACAATACATCTTCTCTCTATGCAGATGCATTTCTGAAAAAAATAAAAACACCACAGTGGGAATACTTGAACACAATCCGGCATAAATTGACGTGTTTTGGGGGTTTTGTTCTCATAATCATTCAGGGAGCTGGAAGCTTGAGCTGTCTGTAAACCTTCTGTTGTAGGCTGGGAATTGTAAGCCTGGAAATTAACCTTTTCAGGGACGCGTTTATTTTTAATTCCAATGCTTGGGTTTATTCAGATTACATACAGCTCATCTTTTGAAGGGATTTATGAAGTAATTGTTTTAGCAGAACGTTTCCTCCTGTGAGAAAGTGTTGCAGTATGTTTAGCTATTTTTGGGATGTATACGCGTTTCATATAATCTATATTGTCTTACTTACTTACAGTACCTCTGTATGCTTTGTCATTTATCTGTGCTGGTTTGGCTACACTGTGCATGACCACTGCACACTAAATCTGTATCTGTTTGTTTTTGAGAGACGCCCTGGCTAAAATGAGCAATGTAATCATAGCTATATCTGTCATAAACATCCTTACTCGTATCCGCAAGTGGTGCCATAGTCTCTAGAGCCCATGTGTCAAACACAAGATCAGATACGATCCTATCTGCCACAAAAGTATTTTAATTTTCTATTAGTTTTAGCCTCTTTCACAATGCGCTGCACTACAGTCCGCAGCATGCACTGCAACATAAAGTGCACTCTAACTCTTTTACAGCAATCTTACAGTAGTTTCACCTCAGTTCTACACAACGCTACGCAATTCCACACCAGTCTTATCTCCAAACACACTAGCTGCATTTCAGCTGCAGTTCAGCCAATATAAACACTTAACGTCAGCTCAGCAGCTCAGAAATTGAGCTCAAGTCTCAATGAACTTGCAGCAAAGAAAGGATGCCAGGTGTCTAGCTCAAGCAGATAGGTAGGTTTAAAAGACTGAGCTCCTGGGGACATTTACATTTTGAATATTTCAAGCATTCATGTAATATTTCAAGCTCTACTACAAGTGCCTGTAGTTTACTGCTGAAGTTTTTGCTTATTTTGAATAAACAGTAGCCAGTTTGGGTTATAACACAACATTAAGAATGAAATAAAAACTTTCTATTTCTCTGGCCCACAGATTTGTAGAGATTTTTTTTAAAATGGCCCCTTTAGTGATTGAGTTTGACACCCCTGATCTAGAGTGAGATTTTTTTAGTTTAAAGATCAGGAAAACCCCCTTCTGATGATGTATCTTTGGGGTTTGCACCATCACACATGAAACAACAGAACTCAAACTGCAATGTAAGAATAAAATAAAATAAAATAATAAAACAAATTCCACAGGTGGATTTTTGCAGGTAGGCTGTTTAAGTTCCTTTTTTTGAATGAATGAATGAAGGAATGCAGATGGAAGGCAAATGGCTTTTATTACATCAAGGAGGCCACAAGTCTTATTGCAGCCATAAAACTTCAAAAAATCCTTATGATGAAGAGAATGGATTACTCCCACAAAACAAATGACTCGCCAGAGGAGGAGGACAACCAACTAAACACTAAGCAGTGTAGATACATGCCTGTCTAGATACGTTAGATTTACATTAAAGCTAGCTTGATTGTATTTATTAGCCTAGATAGATCAGTGGCTAGGATAGCTGTCCGAATTGGTAGACACCACAGGGATTCTCAATGATTTTTGCGTGATGATGCATTTATGTAAGGCATGCTGGGCGTTGTAGTGAGAATACGGATGAAAGAAAACATGGAAACGATAAAAATTGTGAATTCTGTCAAACTGATGAGGCTGACTGATATGCTGCACTACAGTATGCTGCATAACACATCAGATAACATATTAAACTGTAGTTTTAGGCTGGAATGCACCTTTAAGTATATGATATAAAATATTGATTTCTATATGAAATAAAATATTGATTTCTATATGAAATAAAATATTGATTTCTATATTCTCTCTCTCCACAGCTGACACTACAGAGCACCAAATCAAGAGTGGCCTTCTTCGAGGAACTATAAACACCCAAAAGCTGTGCATGCATGAGGACATGACTTTGCATTAACATTCAACACAAGTTTCAGGCTGTGTATGGAAATGGTTCTGCAGAAATAACCACTCTAAATACTGTAAAGAGGTCTTCAGATCCAGACTTTGAATCCAGTTTCTGGTTCTGGATTTTATCACTAGTAGATGTGACATTAGGTGGCCAATCAGCAGTTCGGTTAACTACTATTGATTACAAAATTGAGGACCAGGAACTGGATTGGAGGTCTTGTTTTGAAGACCTCTGCCAAATATGCATAGCAAGGGCTACTACAGGACCAGAGTTCAGGACCAATACTGTATAAGTGTGGGAGGTGTGTGTGTGTGTGTGTAATTCCCTTTTTGAATCACATTCCATTGACCACATCACTTACCTTGAAAATTTGTGGTTGAAAATTTTCAAAATTACTGCATAATTCAGTGGTTCCGATGTAAACAAAGTCATTCTGAGAAGTTTGATGTGAAATCTTATTGTAGAGAAAGATTTTTGGTGATAGGAACCAGGGGTTGAAACATCTACAGCATAAATATAGCCATTTTCTTTCCAAAAAAGTTTTCATATGTAATATTGACAGTGATAATTAGTGGTAATAGCTACTTGCTTTTGATGTACAGGGCCCTAAATGGCCTGCCAAACCTACTTTTTCGCTACAATCCTACCAGTTTGCTGAGTTCTTGTAGCACTAGTATCTTGGTGATCTGTGTCTGTTTTGGTGGCTGACCTTTCATTGTCATGGCCTCTGTGTTATAGAACACTCTTCCTCTGTCTCTCTGTCTCCTCCTTTTTTTTTTTCTTCAAAGTCCAGCTCAAAACTTTCCTCTTCTCCTAATGCTTTCACCACTTGTTCTTCTCCTAATGTTGCCTTCCTTCTCAAAACCATCACTTCCTCTGTCTAAGATTGTGTATACCTGATTTTTTTTTTTCCATTCTCCCATTGCAGTTGCCTCATGCCTTTGTCTTTGTTTCTGTCTTCTGTTCTTATGTTATTCTTTCAATCTTGGTATGTTTGTGCAATTCTGTGTATTTATACTCTCACCTGATTGGAAAGTGCTATTTAAATTTGGCTTATTATTACATCATTATTGCTGTTTTGCCTCGCAACGCCCTGCAACTACCCACACCGTGAATTCATTTTAGGCCAAAACCTTCTCCAATTTGTAAAACAGCATCTCAGGCATCAGGCACATTATTCATAGCTATTTTGTGTAACAGCTTAATGTGAGGTAGCTTTTAGAAGCTTTTAGAAGCCGTAAATACTTCAGACGTCTGGTTCCTGTCACTACCACTGAGATACTCCATTCTAGAGAATCAGAATTGTTCACAGTGGTGGCGATAGGAGCCAGACAGTCTGAAAAGCTAAATGCGTCTAAGAAGGTTGTTACATGAAATGGTTGTAAATACGCTGCCTGATGCTCGAGACATAGTTTTATAATAGTTTTGAGAGAAGGTTGGCATAAAACATATTTTTAATGGATTTGTGGCGCAGAGATACATGCATGGCATGGATAGGGCAAAGGAAATAGTCCCCAAAGACACGTGCAGGTTTACTGGTCATTTTGGATAGTAAACATAATGTGCTGTAGGTAATGTGAGCCCTGCTTTCCATCACCACCACTGTATGTTTCTCTACAATGCACTATTTCATATCAAACCACTCTAAATGACTTTGTTTCTATCTCAATGACTGGGTTTTGCAGACCTTTTGAATTCCCATTTAAGTAAACACTGCTGGACACAATCGTTCACATGGTCTTGCACACTACAGACGGACCGTTAAGCTCCTTGTTTCTCTGAACTGTAAACTTTTATGAAGGAAAAAACAAATGCTGCTTTTCACTGTACCCTGCACTCAGTGTGCTCAACTTCCAATAGTTACTTGGGAAAAGTCCTGTTTTCTACTAAAGATTATTTTCCCGGATGAAACGTGCTGTGTTTTATCTACGTTTGCTCTTTGGGATTTTATCAAGTCTGTATTAAATCTTTTGGTTTCCATTACTGGTGAAATAATGCTGTAGCCACTGTTTAAACAAGGGGATTTCTTACGTACTGGGAGAGAAATGTGATTTGGAAACATATAACACTACCGGAGCGTCAATCAGGATGTTTCTGAAAATGATCCCATTGTCTTTTGGCATTTTAGGATCCAGAAGTAACAAAAATGTTATTCATGACTTGTATGTAATCCATAGGCATCTCAAACCTGGCCCGAAACTTTATATACGGACCCTGTCGGGCTCGGATCAAGCTTGTTTTGTTCCAAACCAATTCTAGCTTGGTCATTCTTTAGACAAAAATTAATTTCTTCATTTATTCATGACAGGATTTTTTTATTGATGATTGGTGCATATATGCATACAGTAGGTCAAGTAGGATTAGTGATCAGTATTTCTGCCTTTAGAAAGAAGACAGCCTGATTGGGGCTTTCAGCCTTTGGGATTATGAAGTTCTTTTGTTTTTGTTTGTTTTTTAAGAAGTTTCCTTTTTTAAATGATATGCGATGATACTTCGGAGAGTTTGTATATATTTTTTGAGAATAATCTTTTTTGTGCTGAGGAATAAATGAATTTAAAGTCTGCTAAATCTGCTCCATATTTATTTGTGTTTGTCTGATAAATCGCTAATACATAAATATGCATTAGAGCCACTAGCAATGCCGGCGAAAAAATCTTTTTTGGGGCTGGTTTGAGTTTTTATGTGTCTGCAACTGAATGTATTGACCGTAATCATTCATTGTCTGGCAGCACAGGACCGGCCCGGCTGAACTAGTACAATCTATCTCCAAGAACAGATGAAGGGCATTTGTAATTTCAGAATTAAAACAAATGAGTGTCCTGCTTAATGACATTGACACTATTATGTAATTAAATAGCAGTTGATTTCTAATGGAATCATCATTTGGAGAGAACAACCATGTTCTGAATTCACTTGCTTACACCAGGTACTCTATATGGCCAAAAGTATGTGGACACCTGGCTGTCACACCTACATGAGCTTGTTGGACATTCCATTCCGAAACCATGGACATTAATATGCTTGGCCATGGAAACCCATTTCATGAAGCTCCCAACGGACAATTCTTTTGTTAATTTTGCTTCCAGAGGCAGTTTGGGACTCAGTAGTGAGTGATTCATCAGAGGATATGTGCCGTTTGCTTGGTCTACCAAGCTGTGGCTGAGCTGTTGTTGCTTCTAGACGCTTCCATTTCACAATAATAGTACTTACAGTTGTCCAGGGCAGATTTAGCCGGACAATTTTCACAAACTGACTTGTGGCAGAGATGGCACCCTATGACAGTGCCATGTTTAAAGTCACTGAGCTCTGCAGTACAACCCATTCTACTGCCAGTGTTTGTCTGTGGAGATTGCATGACTATGTGCTTGACTTTATACGTGTTAGCAATGGATGTGGCTGAAACACCTGAACTCAATAACTGAAGGGGTGTCCACATACTTTTGGCTATATTTGCATACTATTGCATTATAACATCCATATTGCTCCAGTTTTTTATGGTGTAGTCTAACCAACAAAGTGGCAGCTAATGTCAGCTAAAGCTAGCCAACTACTGATCCTGTGAAAAAGCTATGTATCATGAATACTTGTTAACGGTATTTAGACTCTAAGTTCTGCCATTTTGCTGGAAAGAATCTATCAAAGTCTAGAAGCACATCAGCAATGCAAAGTGCAAGGTTAGAAAACTCCGTCATCTTGTGAAATTTTTAGCAATATAAATTATGACATGCATGATATTCATCTTTGTACATGATGTTTTAATCACAAATTACTTCGTATCAGTTAATAATAGTAAATTAAATTAGTTATTGGATGTATTTTTTTCAGTTTATTCAATCAATGATATTACTTCCTGACATGGTGCATTCTCATGCTGGAAGTAGCCTTTAGAAGATGGTAAATACTGACCGTTAAGGATGCACATGGTCAACAACAATACTCAAATAGGCTGTGGCATTCAAGTGATGATTGATTGGTACTAACCAGTCCAAAGTGTGCCAAGAAAACATTCCCCTCATCATTACACCACCTCCACCAAAGCAGGTTGGGTCCATGCACTCATGCTGTTGTTGCCAAATTCTGACCCTATCATCTGTGTGCCTCAGCAGAAATTGTGGTTCATCAGACCAGGCTATATTTTTCCAGTCTTCAACTGTCCAGTTTTGGTGAGTCTGTGCCCACTGCAGCCTCAGCTTTCTGTTCTTGGCAGACAGAAGTGGAACCCGAAATGGTCTTCTGCTGTTGTAGCCCATTCGCCTCAAGGTTTGATCTGTTGTGCATTCTGAGATGCTTTACTGATCACCACAGTTGTACAGAGTAGTTATCTGAGTTACTGTAACCTTTATGTTGGTTCGAACCAGTCTGGCCATTCTCCGTTGACCTCTCACATCAACAAGGCATTTCCGTCCTCAGAACTGCCGCTCACTGGATGTTTTTTCTTTATTGCACCATTCTGAGTAAACTCTAGAGACTGTTGTGTGTAAAATTCCCATCATGCCTTGGTCAAAATGAGTGAGATCACACACTGCTGCAACACGATTGGCTGATTAGATAATTGCATGAATGAGTAGGACTACAGGGTATTCTAATTAAGTGCTTGGTGAGTGTATATTGGTGTATTTTGCCTTTTCATAAAAGCAATCAACTTGATGCCATTCGTTACAGTGATTCTACCACAGCTAAATGCATTTAAGGTTATTGCTTATTGTTTTACCATAACATACATAATCTGTCTATTTGCTGCAACTTATAACTGAATCAGAAGCAGCATTAAAGTTCTACCATGTGAGTACTGTGCCTACTTATTTTGAATGTCATGTGTATGAAGTTATCATCCTCTGAAGCTCTGAGGCTCTGTGCCTCGGAGTCAACAATACACACACCTTCTATTTTATTGGTCGTGCTCTGTGTCCCTCTTCACCCACTATTAGATTGGCTGCGTGTCTGGATGAGTGACAGTTTGATTGACAGCTGGTGGGAGGCATATTGACAGGCTGTCACCAGCGGTAGAAGGATGCACTCCAGGGAGGCGGCTCTGTCGCCACGTATCCCATCATGCCCTCAAAGAGCTGAGACCGAGATGTCCCATCTGAGAGGCAGTGGGAAAAGGTTGGCCCCCGTGAACTTTTCATAGAGAACTAGTTTCCTAGATTACCACGAGGAATTAGCTGATAAAGGCACTGTTGGAGCTGGATTTGTTGTGTAATTTGTGGGATTTGATTGGCCAGTTGGTAGGAACCTGTGAAGTTTCCCCAAATTCCCTCAGAAAGCCCAGGCTTTCATGTCAGCATTACATCACAGGACACACTCAATAACAGTAACAACACGGCACACGGACGTGTCCAAGAGCAGGTTCTGTTTTTACCATTAGCGTGAGGTGGAGGGGAGCAGGACTGCAATTACTGAGGGAGCTCTGGGTTCAGCCAATTACAGAAAACCATTCACTCAATTATTACCATCAGACTGTAACAATTACTCTCACTGCAGATTCATACTGGGTTAAAATCACTCTCAATTATTACTGTATTATTGTAAAAACTACATAGACAGCAGATTCATACTGGATCAAAATCACTCCATAATTTACTGTGAAACTGTAAATATGACACTGCAAATTTGTACTGGATTAAAATCACTGCAATTATGATAATGAGACCAAACACTGCACATGCTGCAGTTTCATACTGGGTAAATAATCACTCCACAGTTATTACAAGACTGTAAACAGTACCCAGGCTGTAATTTGATACTGGATAAAAAATCACTTAACAATTATTACTGTCAGACTGTAAAAACTACACATGCTGCAGATTCATACCGGATTAAAGTTACTCCATAATTATTACTATAAGATTGTAAAATGATACTGCAGATTTGAACTGGATTAAAATCACTGCACGATTATGACCATGAGACTATGAAAACTATACACACTGCAGATTCATACCAGATTAGAATTACACCACAATTATTACTGCCAGACTGTAAAACTACTTACACTGCAGATTCATACTGGATAAAAATCACTCCACAATTATTACTGTAAGACTGGCAGGTTTCATTTTACACAAGATAACGAGTTGTGAAGTATCACCAGAGAATACATTCCATGATACTACGTGAACACAGTAGACCAAGCTGTCATTGGCCCGTCTCAGCAGCTTACCAATTTACCAGTTTCCCAAACTGGAAAAACAAACTGACCGCATCAGCGGGTAGTTATGATTTCGTTATGTGACAGTTTCACAACTTTCTGAGTTGGTAATGGCCATACAAATGGACAGTCTAAGATCAGCCTGAAAAAAGCTTGGCAGAAGAGAGAGGTGCACTATGGGTATTCTTCCAAACAGTAAAATCTTGGTGGGGAAAGGCTTCATTTTTTGCAACTGTAGAAAAATGATCAATTAAACTAGTAGGAGTGATGCTTTTGATAGTTTCACTTAAACTGATGTTATAATTATTCCTGAACTTAAAATCAGTCAGTGTCTTCACACAGGAAGACGCAACAGTAGTGAAAAGGCAGTTATATGTAGCAGAAGGGGAGGAGCCTGCTTAAATACTGACACCTAAAGCTGAACAAAGTCCTGAAGTCCTCCTCCAAGTCCACACTTTGGTGATATCAACAACAGCTGGACGCAGAGGGCAAGAGACCTGGAGGGTGCTTGTTTTGAACACATGCATTTGGGACAGAGTTGTGCCGTGTGCAGACTACTCGTCTTTTAAAATGGGCTAATTTGCTTATTTACACTGGTTCAATCCAGATTACAGACATGAAGCAACATGATGACAAATTCAATCGATAAACAAATGCATTTCAAATGCTCAGATGAGGAATTAACCCCAGTTTTCAGAGTGGAGGGCAGCAGTTTTATTAACTACTCTATACCAATGTTATGTAGTGCATGATAACTTCTCATTTTCAGTCTTGGGTTTGTACTGCTACTAAATCCAAGCGCTAGATAATAAAGTTCATTGTCCCTTTTTTCCTTCTCCTTAAAAGTTGCATTTTCTGAGATACATGGTTTTGTTACCATGGTTTTGACAGCGATAGTGAGAATATAGGGCACAGTGCCCAATCGGTCAATGCTCTGCCCACAAATGTATCCTTTCATAGCTCACTGGATTTCCTACAGCAAAAAAGGGGATTTTCAAAAATCGCAGCTATTGCTTAATCCTAAATACATATTTCCTCTGAATGTCACTGAATCTCCTGAATTGCAAGGTTGTTAATGAGTCAAAATATGAATTTGGCTATATGTGAACTAACATCACTGCACACTGAATGGACACCATAAGAAAGGCAACAGCACACAAAAACCACAAACACACCAGCAAGCTTTGTCCAGTGTGGTACTTAGGTTGCTTTTGCTCTTATTATATAATAGTGTTTGTTTAATAATTGATTTACTTTCACGTAATGTCATTTCAGTGCGCAGGAGTGCTAGCTTGCTGTTAGCATGAATGTAGCAATGTTCATATGTCAACTCTGATGACCTTGTAATTAAAAGTATCTAGTGACATTCAGTGGAAACCTAAACGTAGGACAAAACATATGTTTGGAACTTTTTTTTTCAAAAATCACATTCATTTTGTCGTAGCTTAGAGTTGTTAATATGATA